TCCGATTTTCAAGGGCAAATTTGGAATAAGTTAACGTTGCCCGGGCATTGTATACAGTGCCCAATTCGATTTGGGCACAGTAGATTAAATATTGAATATTATATAAAAAATTAAAAATAAATAAAGTTGCACAGCTTTAATATTTAATTAATTTATTATTAAATTACAGTTATTACCTATTTATTTGCTTTATTTATTACCACATACACCACTATTATGACACTTTGAGTTTCAAAGACGACCAGAACTTTTACATTTACACCGGTTGGTCTTACACAATGTATTGCAAGTACCTACACCTATCGTACCCTTGGCCACCCAAATTAGAAGATTTTCTTGCCACTCTTCTTAATGAAATTTGTACTGGTGGTACATCATCAGCCTGGATAAACACCTCTTTATATATTGTGAATTGGTTCCGACTGTAGAGTTGATGTAGTCTGCCCTCGTTTGTTCCAATTTCATATAAATTATCTTTTACTATAAAAATCAGGAATTTTTATTTTAACATTTTCTCCTTCTTTTCCTGGAAAAAAACGTTCTTCAGATAAATTCTTTATTTTTTAGCTTGTATTWTAAGATTTTCAGCAGCATTCGATCGATTAATTGATTCTATTCTAAATTKTATTTGATCGTTTTCATCTTCATCAGAAAAAAGTWGTTTGCACTGTCTTTATCACTTCATAACTTTTTTTCACTTTTTTCGTGTTTCTCGTTTATGTTTTCGATATTAATTCCACWGCCTAAAGCTTTTTCTAAACCTTCCTCTGATTTTAAAGTAGAAATTAAATCGGTTGGAATTTGCGTTGATTTTAGGCCAACTTTAGCATGTGTTTCGAACATAGCTTCGTATGGCGAACGTTTTGTACCATGATGAAAACTCCGATTCTTCATAAATTGAACAAATTTAAGACCTTTGCTCCACTTTCTACCTCCATGTCCCACAGATGTATGTGTTTCATTAAGAAGTTGAAACAATTGTTCGTTGTAAACATAATACATAATTAAATTACCTTCGGATACTGGAACTACTAACTTTTCAATCCCTGATATATTTACAACATCGTATTTTTTAATTAATTTGTAATCATCTGCAGTCTTTTTTGTGGTTTTAGTTTTCACATTATTCACTTTTAAAATTAATTCAYCGTATTTTACTTTATTTAAAAATACAGCATTTGCATTTTTGTTTAATAGTAAATTGTTAAACTTCTCATTAAACTTTTTTTCCATTTTATGTTAGAAAATAGTACACAAATACTTAGAAAATAGTTAAAAACGTTGACTAAAAGAAAAAATAACACTACACGCAACTGCACTACCTACACTACAATGTCAGACTACGTGACGTCGCCGTCGTGACAATAATCRTTAGAAAATATCGAATAGGAATTTAACGATTCGATTATGAAATATTATCTACAATACTGTGTGATCACTTTATCATTTAGATTACGGTTCGGTTCGTACTATCGCAGCTGTCGCGTTGTCGTGTACGTATAAAATATATAATTATAGTTTTGTAGTGATATYATTACGTATAAATGCAATTTGATATAAAAGTGTGCAGCGCACTGTATAATTCACTTTGTCCACTTGAATCTGGGCAGRGTACACTTTGCCSGGGYAATCTAGTACAATGCCCGGTCAATCTATGCCAAATTTGAGTATTAAAATGATCATTCTTACATTGGCCAAAATGTTCGGGMATTRTGCACAGTGCCCGGGCATYGTTATAAAATTCCCGGATTTTCTACTTTGCCCGTAACATATATATATTACACAGATTTATCCGATAGACATCTTTTACTTAATAGGTACCCGATGTACAACCATCAACTTATTAGGTKTGTCTTTGCCGGTAACATTTAAATTAATTTAACTTATCACCAACATGGTCATGACCTATCMAATAAAATGATGTACTATATGCACATCTGGTTATTTTATTTCAGTGTACATGTCCCGTGGGGACCGTATTGAACTCTGAAAGTCAAGCGTGTCAGGATGTAGATGAGTGCGACGAACTCGGTCTTAACGCGTGTGTATCAGGTCAATGTATAAACACGGTTGGTTCTTTTGAGTGTGAATGTCCACCTGGCACCATTTTGGATAGTACCGGTCGAGTTTGTTTAGGTATTATCAAACAAATGAAAAATACAATTAGGATAAAATKATATTATTATTTTTACATTGTTAAGATAATCGTCGGGGTTCGTGTTGGACCCGTATGACTGGAGGCAGATGTGAGAACAACCTCATGCAACTGACTTTGAAATCTGATTGCTGTTGTTCGATTGGGCTGGCTTGGGGTAGTCCATGTGAACCATGTAAGCCAGAAGACTGTGGYGGTGATTGCAATAAAGGATATGTGGTAATGTACTTTAGTTATTCTATTTTTTATTGACTTATATTATAAAATTACGTTTTTTAGTCTGTAGGCAAAATATGTCGTGATATAAACGAATGCGAACTTAGCCCAGGGATTTGTAGAGGTGGTGGTACATGCGTTAACACAGAAGGATCATTTACTTGTGTGTGTCCTCCTGGTTTGACATTAGACACTACTGGTAAGGGAGATCAAATTATTAACACTTAAAAAAATGTATTTATATGTATAATTTAACAGTTTATTTGCTGTCCAGGAACTGTTTGTTTGGACGTACGAGAAGAAAAATGCTAYACTGATTTTAAGCATGGTGCTGGTGTCAATCCTTTAGACGGAATTTATCCAAAATGTGTTTGCTGTTGTTCCACTATAGGAAAAGCTTGGGGTGGAGGGATTGAAGGATCTCTTGGTAGGAGTGAAACTTGTCCTAGACGTGGTACTCCTGGCTTCACCGAACTATGCCCAAAAGTTAGTAAATATTTATTAACCCCTTTTGGCCAATAACATATTCAAATTCAACCTCTATAGGGACCAGGTTTTATTGATCGCAAAGATATTAACGAGTGTATTGAGTTTCCTGGTATATGCAGTAACGGGCGCTGTAAAAACACCGTGGGAGGTTTTACATGTAAATGTAGTCAAGGATACACTTTGGACGAATCTGGAATCCGCTGTGTTGGTATGAATGTCGTTTATAACTTTTAAACGTTATCATTTTGTCATTTCACACTTAATACGAATGATATAACTACTATATTTAAATCTATAGTATAATTAACTATAAATTTGTCTATTTAGATATTGATGAATGCAATATTATGCACGGTGTTTGTGGTGATGGAGAATGTCAAAACATACCGGGAAGTTTTGTATGCAAATGTAGAGACGGTTATGAAACATCTCGATTGATGCAAGTTTGCATGGGTAATCAACTAATAATGCTGAAAATTTGAAACACTTTATATAGTTATAATACAATGTTTATAAATATTACACTCTTAGATATCGATGAATGTGAGAGAACACCTGGACTGTGCCGTGGAGGTACGTGTCAAAACACACCAGGCAGTTATAAATGTGAATGCCCCCCTGGACATGAACTATCTGCCGACAAACAAAGCTGTAAAGGTACTTTCGAATTAAACACGTTAATTATTTAACGGCAGATACTGAAGAATAATATTAATGTTTTTTATTACAGATATTGATGAGTGTTCAAGAACAAGCGGAATCTGTTCAAACGGAGTTTGCGAGAACATGATGGGAACATACCAATGCGTGTGCGATGACGGCTACAGGCAAACTGACCAAAAGTTTTATTGTGAAGGTGATTAAAACAATCAATTTTATAATTATTTGAGATGGTTTTGTTTAAAAAATCTCTACTAAATGATAAAATTAACAGTTTGTTTTAATTTATTGATTAACGAAAAGGTAATATTAAATGGAAAATTGTTGAAATATTGTCAACAGCCATAACTCGTAGTTATATAATTTTGGGCGATATTACATTTTTTTTCTATTCATGGCAATAATTTTAATATTTATACTATTATTTTTAGATATTGATGAGTGTGAGACAAATAATGGCGGATGCTCTTCTATATGTATCAATTTACCAGGCAGTTACATGTGCTCGTGCAAGTATGTATTATATAAGAATCWCGTTTATTTTTTTGATACAACTTGTTTATTGCATAGGGCTGGATTTAATTTGTTAGCTGATAAACGAACATGTGCAGATATAAACGAATGTGAAGACAATCCTAGAATCTGTAACGGTGGCAACTGCAACAACACAATWGGTAGTTTTCTGTGCTCCTGTTCAGGAGGTTTACTCGAAGGAGCTGATGGTTCATCTTGTATAGGTATTCATTCAATTGAGATCTTTTGCATCTAATTGCTTTAAAAAAAACTACAAAATATAATATTTTAATTTGATAGACATTAATGAATGCAACGAGAAGGACGTGTGTGGAAATGGGGTTTGTAGTAATACCATCGGGTCATTTACTTGTCGTTGTGAAGAAGGATATTCTGCAAARTTAGACTCTGGACCTGCTTGTACTGACGAAGACGAATGCGAAATGGGTACCCATAGGTGTGATTTAAATGCAGCATGTATAAACAATCCGGTAACGTAAACAATAATTAGATTAATTTCTTAATTCTCAACTATTTTATATTACAAAACATTAACTGTTAGGTATAGGTAAATGAATATTTTTATTCAAGCTCGTTATTTATAGCTGTTTGATATTTATCTGACCTTGTTCGTCTGTGACAATTTTCTATAGTCTGGCAATAGTCAATTTATTTATTTATTTACATTTTAATTAACTCTTCTCTCGCCATCTTTGAATAGTTAATTCTAACTCTGGATTTATACATTTATTATTGATTAATTTGAGAAATAAATTGAAATTTTTGTATAAAATAAAGATTATAAAAGCCTCCATATTATGACTGGTCTTTTATAGAATCTCTKACCTTTGTTCTTTTGATCTAAGAACTTAAGATTTTAGATCCATTTACTTAAGCACGTTGTAATTTTATAGATCTTTTTCAACTTGTTTAATCTCTTGAAACATAATTTAAAAACATTTTTATGACATTGGGATAATTAAATAACTAAATATGTGTATTCAAACAGTAGCTTATAAGTTTATTACTAACTTAGTATTATGATTTTGATATGACAAAGGTATTCTTCATGAAATTTTGGATATTGCRCTATTGGATAAAAAAAAAAAGATCTAAAAGTACAAAAAGATATGAACATTATAATCTTAATTTGCAATTAATAATGATAATATATTATCTTAGGGTTCTTATGGTTGCCGATGTCAAGATGGTTTTACAGGTAACGGATACAATTGTATGGATATCAATGAGTGTTTAACTAATAACGGAGGTTGTGACCAAAATGCACAATGCATAAACGAAGAAGGCTCGTTTAAGGTATAATATTTAACTCTACATTTGATAAATTTARTATGTATTTTTAAAATTATAATTTGTAGTATCTAATACGTGAATTAAAATAAACCTATATTGAATCAATACATGAAACTTCGGTCTAATTTTTAAGAAAATATTCATGCCTAAAATAATAAGTTATAGAGTTTATAACACGAGATAAAAGTTATATAAAGAATCTAAAACATTATTTTMTGAAAAACAAAAACAAAATGCATAGAAATTATATTCGAAGTTGTGTACTTTAAAAYGAATTACTTATTATGCATATTAATAACTTGATCATGCTTATAGTGCGTATGTGATGATGGTTTTCGTGGAGATGGCTACTCGTGTATAGACATTGATGAATGTACTGAAGATTCGACTCTATGTGAGAACGGTCACTGTTTGAATTATCCGGGATCATTTAGATGCGAGTGTGAAATGGGATTTATTAATCCGGATGACAAAAATGAAAGATCTTGCAATGGTAAGAACTTATAATTACCTATATTATGCGGTATTAATATTTTTTTAAAACAAATGTTTACTTTTAATAATTTAGTACTTAAAGTATACTCACATCGTATTCAAATACTTAGGAATGACATTTTTTATAATAAGCATATTTTGAAATTACTAAATTTGATCTAATATATTAGTACACTTGATATTAACACCTAGTAACTGGTTCTGGAAAAGGATTGGGTTTAAAGAGACTTGCCAATAATTTACAATTTTATTATTTTTTCTAGAACCGTTATCTAATTAATAAATTTGATATATTATAATGATTTAATTTGCATAAAAAATTATATACATTTTTAATTTAAAAAAAAACACAAAGATATAATTATGTTGATGCGTTGATTAAATGGTTGATGAGTATTAAATATTAAAA